TCCTACGTGGCCCACGCACAAGTCTTCTACAATGGAGATCCCACCTACAGACTTAAGCTCCAGTACACTCCATCCTTCATGTATGGCTATTTTTGACCATGACTCTCTGAGCTGCAAGGCTGCTCCCTTCGTGCCTTTAGCTTTTGCATATCCTAAGAACCACCCATGGATATTACCATGTTTTGCCACCTGCTGTCTTGCCTTCTGCAAGGTGGCAAAAGGTCACACAGCCAGCAGCAGCAATTGCATTATGAATTCAATGGAAAATGACACAGACAGAGAGCGAGAGACAGGGAGTGTTGTCACGGGAAATTGCAGCTACTTTACACAGTTTATTCGTTGGAAGCACCAGAAGAACTTCATTTTCGGATCACTTTTAAATTAAGAACTTCAACTTTTAATCACTTTATCTAACAGAACTCCAGGACACTGAGAATGCAAGTTATTTTCTATAGTTAAACCTGCCTTAATGTTCTTCATTTATCACAAGTTTCATCCACAATTCTGAAACACTCAGCAAGTTATTGTCACATCTTTGTCATAGCCACAATCTGCCATTCATTGACGACAATTTCTTTGGTGATTCTTGAGCGATTTGTTGTTTTTCTTAGCTGCGCACAAAACATATATTCGTACACAAAGATATAGATAGATATACAGATACAGATACATATACATATATACGAGTATATATAGCTACTGCTGCTGCTGCTGTGGCGATTAATGAGCATTTTGTATGCGTTGCTCGGACATTGGTAACGCGAACCACTTGGGTGGGCACGTCCACGTCCACGTCCATCCCATTCAATCCATTCAATCCCAATTCCGCATCGAAAGTGCTGGCCACAGAACAAAGTGCCACAAAAACTAAAACCAACAAAACGGAAATGAGAGCTCAAGGCGATGGGGAGAGAGGAAGAGAGGGGTGCCCCCAGAGGGGGCTGCCTAGCCACACAGTTATTGTCTTAGTTCTGCTAATGGACAAGATTTGCCAGCGAAAGCCTCAAAACGAACTAAGAGCCATGGCCCAAAGCTTACAGCCCCCACAGCAGCAGAGGCGGCATGCAGCATGCGGTGGCATGTGGCAAACACGCAAATTGAGATGCAAAAAGGAATGGCATCAATGGAATTATGAGGGATATACGACGGGATGCTCGTCGCAGGATGCAGCTTGCAAACGCTCGGAAATTGTTTTCTTAAAGGATTCCCGCGCCCCCGCGCGGGCGGTAGATTTTACCACGCTTTTTCTAGGAACACTTACCCAAGAGAAATTCTATAGAAAATGCTTTAAGCATCTCTGAGACTCTTATTTGTGACTTATTTATAAATTTCTTAAGACAAGCCAAGCCCCTCTTTTTTACTTAATTTCTGTAATGCTTCGGATCCAGATATTATTTCTTTAGAATTTAATTTAAACTCTGTTTAGATATGGAACCCACCCTGCAACAGTTCATTCATTAAAAACGTTCGACAGATGCAAAATTACACCCATGGAAAAATATATTTATTGGATATGTAATAATCTTCCCATAATTTCCCCTATTATTCCTGCAGTTCCTCTGTATAAATTTCCCATAAATTCATCCATCTGGTCATTTCTTCTAGTTATCGTTGCAATCCCTTCTTTATCAACTCGTAAAACCCTTAACAAAAATATCCGTTAAAATGTATTTATAACAAATTTAATTTTCAAAAATAAACAAGCAAGTTGGTTGTTTTTTTTCGTGGTTTTATTTTGGTTTTGCTACGACGACCGACGACCGACGACCGACGACGACAAAAATAATGAAAATCACATGTTTTGCTTGCGGCATCAAAATTTTTGTTGCTTCTTGTTTTTGCTAGCAGTTTTTCTTCTTGTGGGGCGACGGCGGCGGCACAGATACACAGATACTGTGTGGCATATCTCATAGATACTTTTACTATATACATATACGAGTGTGTGTGCATGGGCCATGCCTTGCCTATCTTTCTCTATGGCATATCTAAAATCTCAAAACGAAATTTCATTGAAGCGTGCTACGTGCCGCCACCTAACCCCCCACCCTCTGCTGCTACCCCTTTCGTCTTTGCCACTTGTCTTTGAGAGTTCAGTAAATGTCACATGGGGTGCAGCATTTTTGGCCCAAACCTCACAATTTTCCTTTTATTTTTCAACCATCTTTTCCACAATTCATTTTGGGATTTTGTTACTTTTATTCCCATTACTTTTTACTGATCTTGTGTCACCTTAAATCTTCCTGCTCTGTCCCTTTTTTAGCACTTTTCTCCACCTTCTTCCTAAAGTCTTTTCCTCTCTGCTTTTCCTGCCACTTTCCCCCATCGCTTTCCCTAAAACATTTTGTATGTTCGTTTTCCCTACAAAGTTTTGTCATTTATGAGAATATTTTCTGCAATTTTCTATCTATAGTTTTGTACGTTTTTGCCGCCTGCCCAATGCCCCACGCCCCACGCCGCATGCCGCATGCCACCCCAAGCCCCCACTGCCGTCTCTCCCAAGCCTTTGTTTTGCAATTATGTCGTCGTCGTTTCAGTTTGTTGTTGTCGTCAGAACGTGTTCTGGTTTATATTAACCATTCTACAGATACAGATACACAATAAAAATATATGTGTGTGTGCATACAGAAAGATATCTATGAGATACAAATGTATATTCTGATTTGCATTTACATTTTGGTAACAGTATTTCGTGATTATTCTATTATTAGTCTCTCTTTTTCTCTATCTCTGTCTAGAGGGGAAATGCAATTAATTTGCTGTCATTTTGTTTGGTTTTTGCTGGTTTTTTTTAGCTTCTCGTATGGTTCAGTCGTTCAATCTATTCTTGAATACTATCCGTTCGATACTATATCTGTATATTTGCACACAACATTTGCCTATAAATCAGGTGGAAAGATCAGTAAGTGACGGAAGGGGGAGGAAGATTGATTGAAGATTCGGATTTGGGCGATCTGTGAGTACCAGTAGAGATGTCCTCAACTCCATTCAATTTCCCCTGTGGAAAACGTATTTCTAAAGGAGTAAAATATTATTTTCTTTAACTCCTAAAAGGCTGAGTTAAGGCTGCTGCTTAAAAATTAATCAAGTGGCAAGAAACAAGTTCCGCTCGTGCTTTTGTAATTTCTCTCACACTCTCGCAGTTCGGCAATCGGCGGCGGCAATCGCCGTGTGGAACATTTATGTCATAGCCAAAAATAATGCCCCGAAATACGTTTCATTCATAAGGAAGAAGAAGTAGATTCTCTCACAGAAAAACACACACAAGCACACATTTATACGAAACGCTGTGTGCGATATATAAATATAAATAAATAAATTAAATGCTTAATTTTTATTAGCCAAATAAACAGCTAGACAGAAAGACAGACAGACAAGACACACAGCCAAACAGCCAAACAGCCAAACAGCCACACAGCCAGGCGATAGCCTCAGAGCGAAACGAGGCACAAGATCTACAATGACGTCGATGACGCAGACGATGGACGATAATGATGAGAATTAGGTAAATACGGGAAGAGACGTGTATTTTTTTGGGGGGGGGGGGGGCGAACATTCAAGTTTTCCACCGGTTTAATAGAGGGCAAAATGAAGGATTTCCCAAAGGTTATCAAATGGAACAGCGGCACACTTGGAACACTTGGAAATGCACACGAGACTCACAAACAAAAAGAGACAGAGAGAATAGAATGCGACAGAGCATCCATCGATCAATAAAAGTAAAAAACTAAAATATTAATACGTTTATCGGTCGACAAAAAAGTGTTTTTACGCCTCTCTTTTATTTATTGTCTTCTTTTTTGTTGTTTTTAAGTCTGCGACTGGCTGCGGCTGGCTGCGACGGCGTTTCCGTTAGCCTCAAAAATTAACAACAAGCGAAAAAGTAAATAAACTTAAAAATATTTCTTAGCGTTCTTCGTTTTTTATCAATCTTTTGGTGTGGAGGGGTCTGCTGATATTTTAAGCGTGTGTCAGCGCGTTGGAAAAGAAAGCAAAAGCAAAAGCAAAAGGTAAAGGTAAAGGTAAAGGCGGCACGGGGCTAGGTCTTATCGAGTCACACAAAAAGTGCCATAGGAGCGGAGGCAACACGAGAGGTGCACCGATGACGAAACACACCTCCACTTAACGCACTTTCTTTCATTTTGTTTTGTAGATTAAAAACATAAAAAATAGTCTAAAATTAGAAACAAGCTCGAGAAGGAGAAGGCAGAGAAATAAATACTCAAGTGTCCAAAGGTTTACATGCCACAAAAAAACACGAAAGAAACACTGATATGGGGAAGAGGTACAAAAGTCTGTGGCTGATTTGTGAATGGAATTCTCTATGGAAACGAAATGGGAGAGTGATCGATCGATAGATCCATCGATTCGGTTATCAGTCATGTTCCTAGAATATATTTCAGCATTTCTAATATTATATTTTCTGAGGGATTATCTGTCTGTTTTGATCAGCAAACAGACAGCTGACAACCACACACAGACGAGCACAAACATTATACATTTTTTTAGGAGAGACTTTCATTGAGAAAGCCTCATCTTACAGATATATTTCCATCTTTTATGTGACTATAACTTCCTGCTTTGCATTTCCATCAACATTTTCTAGTAATTTGTTCTTCCTGATTCTATCATTCCATTTATCTTTCCTGTTAGGTTCTTGTGTCACGATGTGGCCATAAATTAATCAGATATTCCCATGGATATGTGTGTATCTATCTATGATGCGAATATGTACACCAATTATTTATATACTATAAGAGTTTTATTTGCATTTCCTGGCTATACAACAACAGCATCCATCTACAGATACATCTACTTCAACAGATACATTCTGAAGGCCAAAACGTGAGCGCATTGAAATTAACTGAAATTGCAACACACAATTTGTATCTACGGATACACAGCTAAAGCTACATATTGCATCTGCATCTCAAGCAGCTGTTTGTTGGCGAAAAGGGAAGGGAAAGGGGAAGGTGAACGGGGAACGGGGGGCACACACTTACATTGATTTTCAATAGCAATCCGTGCAATTTATTCCGTAATAAATCAAAGTATATATCCGCTAGATATAATCCTTTTTCTGCTTCTGGGTTGTTCTCGTGTTGTAGATATCCACAAAAAAAATGATAAATGTAATCCAAAAATAGTAGATACAGGCACTTTTTGCTGGTTCGGATTTCGGGGGTTCAAGATTTCCTCTTATTTTTTGTATACACGATCTACCGCTCTATATATATATACTTTAGATATATATATATGTTTTTTGTTGTATTTTATTTAGCATTTATTAAAAATGATTTTTCGCTTTGCTCTTTTTCGCATTTCATTCACAAAAGTAAATTTAATTAACACAAAAACGATGACGCCTGACGCTGGCGTTGACGTTAACGGCGACTGCAAACGGCGACGCCAACTGCGAACTCTGCTGCTTGCTGCCTTCGATATATTGGTCTCCCGCGTTGTTTGATTTTGTTATTATTTTTGTTGTTAAGAATAATATAAGATTTTTGACCGATCGATCGGAACGGGAACGAAACGGTAACCGTGTTTGTACGTCGACTGCGACTGCGACGCTCACACGATCTCTCGAGAAACGGGGGCCACGTCGTCGCCTGTCGGTGTGTTAGTGTATGTCTCTCTGTCGATCGATTGTACGAGTGTGTTTGCGTGTTTGTCGTCGTCTCGCTATCCGCGTGTGTATGGGTAAAATATTTTTATGCAATTTTATATATACATTTATATGTATATATACGATGTTTGCTGCTGCTGCGACGGCGACTGTTGTTGTTTGATTTGTTATTTGATTTTTTCTCTTTCTACACGTTTTTGTATTTGAATTATGATTTTTTGTTGTTGCTGTTGCTGTTGCTGTTGTTGTTGTTTAAATAGACATTGATTTTCTTTGCGCAATTTGCATTTTTAGAGGCACATAATTTCCATTGGGAAGCAGGAATTCCATTCAAAAACATTCAAACACAGAATTTGATCTCACTTCTTGTTGTTGTTGCTGCTGTTGCACACAAATATTTGTTGTATTTTCTGTTGGATATATTCACGCGTTTGTTATATTGTTTAAACAAATTGTTGTTGTTGTTGTTGTTGTTTTATTGAAAAAAAATGTGAATTGGGTACTATGGAGTGTCGAGGAGTGGTGTGTGGTGTGGGTATTTTCGAGTCGAAGTCGTCGGTCGCGGCAACCGCTCAGCTCAGCACGAGGCGAGGTTTTTGAAGGCGAATTTATGGATCGTGAACATTGACAAATAAATCCATATAATTTTAGTTGATATTTTTTGTTTTGCCGTATGGATATTTTTACTTTGTGGTATTTTCAACTGACTTTTCTGAATTCAGAAAAAATTCGACACTATCTGTTGTTGTTTCCTTGTCTCCGCGTTAGGGATATTGAATATATATTTGTTGGCGTTATTTTTGTCGTCGAAAATATCAGTAGTGTGGATATTTTAGTGGGATAATCAACGTAATTTTTATGAATTTCGAAAAAAATTCGACACGTTTCATTGTTCGCGGCCCGAGTTCAAAAAATGTAATGTACCCACGATTACCACTGTGCCGCCGCCACCGACTCGCGAGTGAAAAAACGCACTCAAAACTCGAATACACTCAAGAGAGCGCTGCAGCCTGGATTTAGGGCCCTGTTCGAGGCATGTTAGGCGCCTCTGTTATGTTGAGTGTAACGATATTTAACGTTTTACGAATTAAATTTTTGTGGGCGGGGGCAAGGCCGTGCACTGTGGATCCCCTATAGATGCTCCAAATATTTCTGGGAGTTCAAAATTTATTTGAAAACGTTTGTTGCCACGAGAAAAACAGGCCTAGGCTCACCCTTTGCATCCACATACTTTGGTGTAAAAATTTACAACAAACCATGGCACATTGAAAGATAAGGTGAGCTGATGTTGTTCATCGTTGTCCATACCTCTCCATAACCATAACAGTGTGATTTCACTCAAGAGCGCAGAGACTCAGTTTTGCGTTTCAAGTGTGAGCTACGAGAGGATTTATTTCACAAGTAAGATACAAGAGAGACGATGGGGCGAATTGATACGAGCGAACGAATGTAGAAACTATATTGAGATTTTACTCTTTCAGCCCTCTTTGTCTCTCTCAGTTTGGCGCACAAGCAGCTTATAAAACCCTCAAAACCACTCATGTTAAATATGCAGAGATTGAATTTTGAATTGAAATGAGCCAGAGAGCGTGTTTGTGGCGAATTTGATAGAGTGAGAGCGTGTGTGGAGCCGGCTGACGATCGTTTGTTCGCCGTATCTGTATCTCGCTCTCTGTCTTTCGCCTTGTTTTTTAATTGAACAAATTTTTCATTCTCAAAAAGCGGCGAGTGGAGAAGCATACAAATGTATGTGTGACTTAATTATGGCTGTGTGTGAGTGCTGTTACTGAATGGCAATTTTACCAGCGTTTTGGGAGTGTTTCTAGAGCAGTTTCAAGTCCAGTTCTTAGTAAATACCTTAGAAAAGTCAGAATACTAGTAGTAAATTGACATTAAGAAGTGGAACTAGGCGGGAGTGATTGAAAGAAGAGCCAGATAGAGCACAGGAAATCGCGTGCCATAGTGGCCAGGCGAATTCAAACACACACAAGCTCACTCTGAGAGCAGCCAAACCCACTCGGAGAGAGTGAGTGTGTGTATTACAGCTACAACAGAATTTGTGTTGTTGTAAAGGCACATGGCTGGCGATGAAACGGCCTTCCCTGGGATCCCCTCCCCAAACACCCAACAAGCAGTGCATCGAAGAGCAGAAGGTCGGGGTAGGGGAACGTATGGGGCGGGCGGCCTATGTTGAGAGCAAGAGCGAGCGACGACGACGACTTTTCGTACTAAAAACCAACCGGACGTTGCCGCCGCCGTCGCTCCTCAGCAGACAGACCCCCTCTTGTGACAGTGTGTTCCCCCACAGGCACTGCTGCTGCTGCTGCTGCTGCTCCCTTCTTCATGTTTGTGGAGCGTTGAATGTGGTGGACTTTGTGTCTGTGTTTGGCTGCCTCTCTCTCAGTGTGTGTGTGTGTGTTGTGTGTAAAAAAACGGAAATTGAAAATATGCCAACTTGTAGGCGCGCTGCTGTCGCTCGGGAAGTGCGGGGGAAGGGGTGGGCGGAAAGAGGAATGAGAAGAAGAAGGAAGAAGGCAAGAGAATGTCAGAGAGGAACGGGGGGCGTACGTACGAGCGACGGTGGGGTCGGTCGAGGCGAATTCATGTCAGTTTTATTTTTTCATTCATTTAAATTTAAATGCAAACAACAGCACAGTGAAGCCCCCACACCGCTCCACAATACACTGTATGAGACTACTACCTGACACCCCCACCCCATCACCGCTTTTGTAAGCAGACTTTTGCCTACGCGGCGAATCCAAATCGGAATCAAGTTTTTCCACGAATGGGTGTGCTGCTGTCGCTGTCGCTTTTCCGGCCTTTGCGTGCATAAACTTGGTAATTTTTCTCGTCGTCAATTTGCCAATCACCTCCCTCCAGAGATCCCCACCCCCCTGCAGCACCAGTGTCCACACCCCACACAGCGAGCGTCTCATTTTCCATATTATCCACGTTTTTCCCTCAATGAAATTTTCCTCTGGCTTGTTTTCACCAAAATGGAGCTGCCCACCTCTGCTGCTGCTCTGCTGGCGTCGTCGCGTTGGCTGACAATATGAATGAAAAATACGCACACACAGAGAGCGAAATAAAGAGAGAGAGGTAAAGCGACACTGAGAGAGGCTGGAAAGTAGCTGCTGGAGAAGTGCGAGGGGAACGATGGTGGAGGAGGTGGGGAAACGATGGTCTATGCGTGGATTCAAGATGTTGTTTCTCTACCTTTCTCACTCTGTCTCACTGGGTGTGTGTGCGTTGCATGAGGTAAGCATAAGATGTCGGGGCCTACATGTGAATGAGTGAATCTGCGAGAGTGTGTGTGTGTTTGTGTGAAAATGCGGAGATCAGGTGGGACCAGTACGATCAGAAATCATTCACACTGTGAAATGAGGGGCATCGGTGGCATTACAAATAAATATCAGTTTGAGGGACTGAGTGATACTTCTATTATTTAATCTCTAATTTCTTCTGCTTTCTTTTTGTATTAAGCTTATACTCTTTTTACATTATTCTAAACTGCCTGCAATATGAAGCGACACCTCAAACATTTCGCCCCACTCAAATTGTGAATGATGTTGAAAAAGCAAACACAACAGCGCGCGTCGACGGTTGTTGTTTCTGAGCGCTGGAGCAGAGTTGTCGAGTGTCGAGCAGGGTAGCCCATCGTTCAACAGCCCCCAGACTTGTGGATACTCGACAGCCCTGTGTGTGTATGGAGGCACCGCAGCGAAATCTCAAAAAACCAGTAGCACTTTTCTTGGCTTCGACATAACAGAAAAACAACAAATGGGGTGGGGGGTAGAGAGAGAAAAAATCAAGTAAAATAAAATAAAAAGCGTGCGTTCCATCAGCAGCAGCAGCACAGCAACAACAAAAGCGTTTGATTTGAGTGTGAGCCACGAGTGTGAGTGCGAATGTGAATGTGAGTGCTGTCTAATAAGCCAAGCCTCGAATAATCAGAGCGCTAGTAAACACAGAGATAATCTAAGCGACTACAGAAATGGTTAGAGGGCGGGGGCCGATCCAGAGATTAGCATGAACTTTCCAAAGGGGAAGTGGAGAAGGTGCTGGGGCATCAGCATAGTTACTATGGGGGGGCAAGCATACAGCATACGAAAAAGTCGCTCAGCTCAACTCATGCCTCACTCACACATCCATACACAAATTCGCCGTCGTATACCATGCAAATTTCAACTCTTTTCACAGCGAATTGAAATTGAGCCAAAGAGCATGGCGTCCCGGCGAATTGGGCATTCGTGAGAGCAAGCAAATTGACAACGCGAGAGAGACTGTGTTTTCGCTTCGTTTCGTTTCGCTTCGTCGTCGTTTTTATGAATGAACGGAACGGAATATAATGAATGGGAGGCCTTCGTTCGTGTGTTCGCCTTTTTGCAAAGTCAAAAATTTTGTCTTTGCTTCTTCGGTTTTTCGTTTTGGGGTTTTCTTTAGCGTTTCTCTTCTCTGTTTTTACTCTGGCAATAATTTCTTTTGAATTTGTTTAAATCTTTGTTTTTGATTTTGGGAAATGTCGAATTTGCAGTTTTTTCGGGGTTTTCTTTGAAAAAAGGCATGAAGCAGGTCATTTTTGTTGAAGTCTTTTTACCGCAGACGAAACGTCGCCAT